TGTGTGTGTGTGTGTGTGTGTGTGTGTGTGTGTGTGTGTGTGTGTGTTTGCCTCTCTGCCTCTTTGGTTGACACAGCTGTTGCCGCCGTGTTGTTTCAGGTCCCTTCCCCTCTGTCGGACTGCTACGTTCCTGTATTATTGTGCCTCTATCAGGAGGTCAGAAAGGAAAGATCCACAGTGCCGTCCCTCCCTGACGTGGTTTTGATCTTCATTCTCAGTCATGAGAGTGTGCAGTCAGCGTCCACTTTATTATTTTGATTATATTTTTCTATCCAATTCCCCTTAAAAACCTTTGTCTCAAGCAAAACTAAAAAGTGTCATGCCAACCCTCTGGCAAGCTGAAAACAACATTGACATATTTTCACCACATAAAATTACATGTTGGCAAATAGTTCCCTGTTTACACAACCAGCTGACATGGAGCAGCATTAGCATTCCTTCTGATTTGATGATGTAATTCCATGATTCACTCTGTTTTTAGCTCTGGTTTGGTCTCCACCAGCTGCCGAGAAAACAAATATCTGGCTCTTTAACTGCTAAATGCTCCACTTTCTTAACCAGTTAGTCACCAACTTTTTCTGTTGGTGCAGGACAGGTAGTGTACAGTGAATTGTCAGAGTTTATTAGCGGAAAACAGCTGCAGGATTAATGAGCGAGGAAATCCAGAACAATTAGCGAAAAGATGCTCTTTAGAGCTGAGGGGAGAGATGCAGAGTTTCTGTCATAATTATCTGTGGGTTCGTCAATACAAAGGCCAACTTTTGATCATTTAAATCATTGCTGATATAAAACTATTGTACAGTGCAGCTTTACCTTTGCTTTACCTGCAACCTGACAGCCCACAATATTTTCATACACATTTCCCCACACTAGATATCTATAAATATACAATATTGCTTTGAGCTTTTTTCTGAACTGTGTCTTTATTGACCTACATGGATTGCAAACGTTGTGTTGTTTCTCCACAGTTCACCCTTAGAAGAGGATTTAATACAGTATGCAGTGTGAAAGTTACATGTTGTATGTTTCAAACTCTTAGAAGTGTGACATCTTGAAACATAAATCTCTAGACAACTCTAGTTTATACTATATAGTTTATATATCAGTCCAGTGACTGGAGCTGCTTTTACCAGAAAAATGCTGCAGTACATAACAAGAGGAAACGCATCAGCTGCAGCAGAGGAAAAGGGAAAACGAGTGACGGATTTCCCCGCCGCTTCTTTGTTTCTCATCCTGTAGCCAGGAGCCACTGCTGGATGAAAGACATGTTGACTTTCTAGGTATTAAAGTGAACCAGCTTAAATTTTACAACTCTTACATTTAGCATTTAGCACAGAGTCGCCAACTGCTCCAAAGTCAAAGCACTCTGTCCTTGTAAAACTAAAAGCCCATGTGCTGTACATTTTTTGTTTGCATTGATTTTTCTGCTGTTTTTGCTGACACAGCAGCTTACAGAACAGGACAAAGAAGAGTCTGGAAATACACTGGAGCTGAGTTGGGGAGTCTCTCGTGTCATTTAGAGAGAGTAATATTCATACTTACCAAGATCATCTGTCCCAAAGGGGGGGTCCATTGCAGTTCCTCTGACTCACAGGAGGTGAAGGCTGGTGTCTGTCAGTGTTTCTGGATACACTGGAGATATTAATATCCTTGTGACTGTACTGAAGGTGACAACACCTTAGTTGACATGGTGCTGCAGTGGTTAGCACTGTTGTCTCACAACAAGAACATACTATTCCGTTATTTTTTCACTTTTTCATGACTTTTCTATACCATAATATGGTATGATTTTTTTTTTTTTTTTTAAATGACCTTTTTATATTATAATATGACTATTGTAGTATATAATAATAATAAAAACCTGAGGCATTTGAGGCTTTCTATGTGGAGTTTGCATGTTCTCTGGTTCCAAAACACGTATGACATACAATCCTCTTTCTTTTACGACTCCTTCCTTCCATCCTATCGACTGTCTATCTTTCATTCCGCCGATCTTACCACTGCCTTCAGCTCGTCCCTCTCTTTGTGAAAAGAACGAAGCTGGTGTCTTCACCTGGAAGAAAAAGAAACACATACCTGATGTTTATTTGATGTGTGCTATAATCTTCTTTTTTTTTTTCTACGAGTCCTTTTTAATCTGTGATAATCCATCAGTATCTGTGTGGTCTCAGTTTTATGCCGGGACTGAAGGGCTTAGCGGTTTATATTCACAGCGATCCAGTATGATGTTGAACAGTAATTCACCCTAAATGGATTTATCCTAACAGGGCCGGCAGACGGTTGGCACTGTGAGCAGGTCAACATCAATATTGTGGCATAAACATGGCCGTCGTGTCATGAGCTCATGGTGGACAGGAATATTTTTCCTTTGTGGATCTTTGAGATCTCTGAGAAACAAAGCAACACAACAGTCTGTGTTTTTATTCACCCCTCATCCAGATGATTTATTCCACTGCTGTAGATCTGTCGTCATTGACTTTGTTGGAGGCTATATTTGACTTTCGTATAGGTTGTTGTTCTTCAGTGTAGGAATTGCATCATGGGATTTTAGAATCTATACCAGTAGGACAGCGCTGGATGAGGTTGATTGTTTCCAACATAGTTTTTATTTGTTGACGAGTTGGATTCTAGTCAGGTGAGCTAATACAACCTGAACAAAACATGAATACAAGCACCTGGTTTTTGACTCAATTCTCTATTCTGCTGCTATAAGGTACATGTTATAGCAGTACGTTATAGTTGTAGTATAAGTAATGCTTAAAGGACAGTTTTGGCAGAAATTGATGAGTTTTACTCTTTATATTTAACAAATGCAGATGGTTATCATACCATTATTACAACTTGAAACATATAAATCTAGTATTAAAAGTCAGTATTGGCTGCATTTTTTGACTTTTTCCCAGAGTGAGTGTACCCCAAACTCAAAGCATGGTTAGAATTATCAGCATGCAGTTGGGACATAAAGCTTTGCCTCAATTGTCAAGATTGGTCCCTGATAGAAATGACTGAGGCCTTTGTCAAGGGTTCAAAGATGCCTGAACAACCAAACAATAGTTGTTACATTCTCCTCTGTGTGTGTATGTGTGTGTGTGTTTTTGTGCGTGCACGTGCCTCTTTATTTATATCCCCTTCTTACAAAATGCCTTAAAACAACTTTGCTCATCAGGCCATTGTGTACCCATCAGATTCCTGATTTATGTTTCTTCTCTTTTGCAGAGATTATGAATGATGTAATCAAGAAGGTGAAGAAGAAGGGAGAATGGAAGGTAAGCAGTCCACAGTTAATTACACATTCAACATTTGGGGGAACACATTGTGCATCACTTTTTATTTTTAGGGTACAAATGACTAAATTGTAAAAAGAAACAAATAATAATTCACATAGAGGGGTGGCTGTTCTTTTACCACAAGGTCGGTGGTTTGATCTCCGGCTCCCACTGTCCATATTTCAATGTGTCCTTGGGCGACATTTTCCAAACAATCACAGTTAAGTTAAAACAGGGAAAAAATAGAAGATAAAGCAAACTGAACTACATTCAGTAGCATCATGTGCCAAACATGAATGTCATGACAGTACATGTTTCAGTAAGGCAGGTGGAAAAAAAGAGGCAAAAGAGTTACAGCTGAGATTTAAAGGGCGTGACTGAATGAGCCTGAATCAGCTAGTAAATGCAGTAATGGCAGAGAGTAACACTTGATTTACTGACTGACATCAAACAAAAGCATGAGCAGGCTAAAAGTATTTCTGATTCCCAAAAGTATCAGCAGGGAACATCAGGTAAAACACAGTTCACAAAGTGAATGTATCACTTTTATTTAAGCGACACAGTTCCATTATTAGCAACATGTAATGTGTGTAGTGAACAGTGTTTGTATAGTAAATGTCTAACTTCCTGTTGCCAGGCACTGATCGTGGACCAGCTGAGCATGAGGATGTTGTCGTCCTGCTGCAAGATGACAGACATCATGACAGAGGGCATCACCAGTAAGACACGATGGTCACATTCTCTGTGCTGTTACGTTGTTCGTTTGTTTGTGTATGTTTCTCTGTACATACGACTGTTTCTGCTTCTCCAGTCGTGGAGGACATCCTGAAGCGACGAGAGCCTCTTCCAAGCCTGGAGGCCATTTACCTGATTACACCCACAGAGAAGGTACACAATGTCTTTCTCCCCTCCATAGTTTAGTCAGCAGGTCTGGGATTTTAGCAGAGAAAGCGGAGAAGTCGCTGAAGTCCAAACACAGGGCTGTTTACTCAGCCGTGGAAAACCCACACATTAACACTTCTTTGTTTCTACCGTCCCCATCTCTCTCTCTCTCTCTCAATTCAAACTAGCTTCATTGGTAATGCCATAATTAAGGTTGTAGAAGAAGAACAATATACCTTTATATATGATACATACATAATACAGATTGACATAAATGTTTTGCACATTGCTACATAGTATACTATAATGAAAGAAAAATAAATAATATCAAACTAATGGTGAGAAAATAAAAGCACACAGCATGTTTGATAAGAAGAGGTCAAGTTTAACGGTTTAATGTATTGGCGATAGAAGAAAAGAGATAAAAAGAGGCCGTCAGCACCGTGTGTTTTCAGGTGTTGGTTTCCCATATTTATTTATAAGGTCACCTGTTTATGTTAAAGCTTTCGCAACATCATTTGGATGCAGACGTCATAGCAATAAAGCTTCAATGAACTGAATTGTACCCGCTGACACACAAACTGTTGTCAACATGCTCTCTTGAACTCTACAGTCGGAGCCCTGATTGCCCGTTTCTCTCTCCTCAGTCTGTCCACACCCTCATCGGAGACTTCAAAGACCCTCATTCAGCTAAATACAAGGCAGCCCATGTTTTCTTCACTGACTGTGAGTAGATCCATGAAGACTTGTTTTGTGGGTTGGTGTTCACATAAGAATCTGCTCCCACATCCTGCCAACTGATGGATTAGTGTTGATAATCATAATATCATAACCAAGTCTGACAAAAAGGTTACTAGATGAATGTTTGAGAAAGTACAGGTCAGCATTTTCTCCAAACTATCTTCATAGGTCAATGCAATATGTTGAAAACTAATATTTGAATATGTTATTGGACCCAATGAATCACAATCACTTTGTGTATAAAGATGCCTGCTATCAATTATAATTCTGTTTTAATCAATTTGACCTTTCTAGCCTGCCCTGATCCTCTCTTCAACGAGCTGGTGAAGAGCCGCGCTTCCAAAACCATCAAGACTCTGACGGAGATCAACATCGCCTTCTTGCCCTACGAGTCTCAGGTAAATATCCAGCTGAATTAAGTCATCAGCGGAGTCTTGTGATTGGTTTTCTCGCTCGCTCCACACGAAAATGTCTTCTGTCAGCGGGATGTAAACCTTTACGTGCTTTTCCCTGCGGTGTTGGTGCTTTCATTCACGACACAGCAGTGCCGGTGTTTCCCCTGACATGTTATCAAGTCTTGAGGTGGGAAATTGGCGGTGCAGATTTCCCTGAATATCGATTCATGCTCCCATTCACACATGACCCCATGCAGGAAATGTTTCTGAACATTCCAGGGAAAGGAAGGAAGCATGTGTGACAGGGACCTCAGAGAACCTCTTGTGTGTGTGTGTGTGTGTGTGCCCAGATGTACAATGATCCATAACAAAAATGTAAAAAAAACTGTAACCATGCTTACAAATGGCTTCAGAAATCTGGCAGAAAGAGTGCATCTGCACATTTCTGTCTTTGTGAACCTACAGAGTCTTATGCATCTGGCCTCTGGATTGTTTTCTTTTGTTTATTCACAGTTCGAGAGAGAGAGAGAGAGAGAGAGAGAGAGAGAGAGAGAGAGAGAGAG